TTCTCTGTATTTTTCTTTGCGGGTTCTTTTTCCCCTCCATAATCCATTTCCGTGGATATTTTAGCATTTGTGCCTCCTGATTTTCACTGGACAGTTATGGGGGGTGCGGTAAGAGACATGGTCCCCAGACACAGGGTAAAGAGACAGAAAGCTCAAAAATAAAGCATTCTCCAACGAAGTACGGATTTAGGGATAAATACAGGGGACACCGGGGAACCTGGCTTAGGGGTGCCAGGGAGGGTCCCTTCAGGGGCTGCCCGGGAGCATGCCTAGCGTCAGGCCGGAAGGGAAGTGGGGCTGAATTCCAGGAAGAGGACATTCCTGTCCTTGCCCACCACAGGCACACACGCACACACACCCGTTCCATTGCTGTTCGCCCCCAAACCTGGGCCCTCAAGCTTGGCACCAGCCTGTGGCCCATGGAAGGCCCGTGCTGTGTGCTGGTCCCGCTGTTAGTCTAACCCTCCTCCCTCCTGCTGCAGTGGCCCCAGTAGCCCCGGGGGAGGCAGGGGGAAGCAAGGGGGACTCTTTGGCCTCACCTGGCCCGCCCCCCCAGCCTCCATCGAGGGCGCCCCGCAGCTCTCCATGATGGGTCTGCTGCGACACATCCTGTCCCACGAGGGCGTGTGGGGCCTGTACCGGGGCATCGCGCCCAACTTCATGAAGGTCATTCCAGCTGTGAGCATCTCCTATGTGGTCTACGAGAACATGAAGCAAGCCCTGGGGGTCACGTCCAGGTGAGGGACCCGGAGCCCCTCCCCACCCTGACCCTCACCCCCATCACGACGTCCCCCACACTGACGTCCTCAGCCACTGGACGCTCACGTCCCAACAGTGGGTCCAGGTCCACCCCATCCCCACCACTGGATCCCCACACCGCAGTCACTGGGTCCCAGTACCCCAGCTCTAGGTCCCCAGCCCCCCACTGCTGCTGGATCCCACACTTCAGCGACTGAAATCTGACACCGGAACCACAAGATCCAAAATGATCCACGGCCTAGCCCTTAACTCCTGGTCCCCCAAGTCCCTGGATCCTGCATCCCCACATCCCAAAGGTGGGTCCCACGTTTCCCTGTCCCTCCCCCTGGGTCCTGGACCCCCATGTCTTAATCACTGGACCCCCAACCCCTGGAGCAGACGTGCTCTGTAGCTCATCACTCAGCCCCAGCTCCCTCAGGCACCAGATCCAGGCCCTTGTACAGCACGGGGTCCTCGATCCCAAACCTGCTGGCGAGTCGCAGATCGCCACGCCTCAAGCCCTGCATCTCCAAGCTCAGCCGCTGGATTCTGCATGTCGAGAAACCTCAGCCACAGGATCCTGACAATGCAATGCCTAGATCCTGGGGCCCCCACCACCAGATCCCAGATCCCCCCGCACCCGACCACTGGATTCCTGAATTCCTTTACCTCGACCCTGGGCACTAGGTCCTTCTGCTTTGACTGCCGGATCCCTACATTTCAAGCACCGCACCCTCAGCCCCCCACTGACCACTGACTCCCAAGTTGCCATCCCCAAGTGTGGGAGCCCAACAGCACAGCCAGGGGATCCCGGCAGCTGAAGCTGCTGGATTCCCGATTCTAGAGTCTACATTCCTTCACCCCAGGCAGTGGTTACTGAAATCTTACCCACGGGAGGCACATGCTAACCCTCCCGGGGACTGGATCCCAAGCCCTTAACCCCTGCATCCCGGATCCCACGCACCCCCATCCTAGACACAAGCCTGCTCCCTGAAGGGTCGCGTGAGCAAGGCAGCCCTGGGTAAGCCCAGCCCCTGCTCTGGAAAACGCACGCGATCAAGGCCGTACAGCAGGGTGCGATGGGGCTCCCAGGACTCAGCGGGTGCCGGAGCTGCCCGTACCCCTCCATGTGGCCACACCCGCAGCTGTTCACCCCCACATCCGCTGCACTTTCCCTCCCTGGCCACCTCGCACCCTCATGCCCCCCAGAGCTGGGGTCTGTGGGAAGCTCCAGTCACTCCTGGGGGCTGGCAAACAGGCAGCCTGAGATGGTGTCACGTCACAAGGTCCTCCCCACCTGGACACTGCCAGCCCCTCCCGGGCTTCCAAGATGAATGAGCCAGGACCAGCTCTGCACATCTAAGCCCAGGCATCCTGGGATGCAGAGACAAAAAAACAAAAAAGTCGAACCCCCAAACTTACCCCAGGTCTATTTTTCTACCAGAGAGAGGTGCAAAGCCCCCCCTTGCACCAGCCGGACACCCCAACCCTCCCACCCCCATGCCTCTGCACTTTAGAGTTGTTCTGAGCTTAGAACTGGGCCCCGTCTCTCCTCCCAGTCCTTAGGGGACCCCAGGAAGGGACTGTGAAAAAGGGACTGGGGTGTTAGGGGTTGGAGGACCCCAAAGGCTTCCACCTTCCCCTACCTCCACCTCACCCTCTGCCCTGCCTG